TAGCTCCGGGAGTCCTGTGATTATGTGAAAAAGTTAAGCTTTTGTTATTAAAAAGAAACATTTACAACTACCACTGACAGATAAAAAACTGAAAAATATGAGCGCTGAATAACCCAGAACAAAAAAGCAGAGCAGAAGAGGAGCAGAAGCTGTGCGTTTTAAGCCAGACTGATGCATTTTTGATTGGGAGTGGTGATTTTTTCATGGCTTTGCCATCAGGGCTCCAGCACAGGCCCGCACGGGTTGTTCTTATGGCCAACAAACTCATGTCCATGATACATGAAGATGCCACGCCAAGATGTGCAATAAATGAGTCCGTATTATCTGCCAGTGTTAAAAACCACACCAGTCTGGATGATCACCTTTAGCAAGAAGCAGGGTCCTGTGTTTCAAGAAAGTTGAGAGGTAGCTCCGTCACGGACAAAAAGTATTGCCAGGAGGACGGACTGAAATGGTAGCACAAGGCTCCTTTCATATTGCAACTTGAGGAGTGATCTCAAACAGCTGTTTGGTAGTAAATGCCTATGTACCACGCATTACCATAGGACATTCTGATAGCTAAACTCAACATAAACACAAGCGGAGTCAAATGAATGCACTGTACGCCCACACTAAGACAATCAAACAACAAACTTTGGTTTGAAGACAAGATTTTTCCATGAATAAGAAATATGAGATGATTTCTGGCTGACCAAACCACTTCCCTCACTTGGGAACCACCCTGCCATCCAAATAAGCCAATATATCTCTGTAAGATTACAAGCTATGTTTATCCAGTGAGGAAAACTTCTCTCTGAAATCTAATATCCCCTCATACTAACTCTCATTACTCCCAGCCACACTCTGGAACAAACAACTTGTTGAAGAAGTGTCAAAATCTTGAGGCTGGTCTGTGAGATGACAGATCTGCTATTCACAGCAGCAACACTCTGGATTGCGCAAGCCACTATGGGTACCACACCTCAAATTAACTATCATCTTCAGACGAGCTGAAAACGTTCTTCAAGAAACCTTTGGAGGCCATGAAGTTTGTTTTAGTTTAATGATCTTGTAGTCAACTTCAGAGATTAGCTTCTGCAGTGGAAAAAAAATAATTTAAAAAAAAATAATATATATATATATTCATTCAAATTCAGAAAGTCACCTCCAAAGCAAAAACCACAGTGCACTTGCTGTGGATTTTGAAGAAAAAGTATTATCCTGTCTCTTTTGTTCCAGGAGCACGTCCTTTAAAGAGGAAAAGACATGCAACAGGACCCACATACGCAGGTTCAGATCAGGAGCTTGGGGAAGCTGGCTCTGAGGTGTGGGAAGAGACTGTCCACCCACTTCTACCCTTCACCCGCCTTTTTATCAATACACAGTTGGTTTCTTCTTTCTGGGAAGACTGTTGCATAAGATGTATTTAAAAAAACACCACCAAAAAAACACTGTCAAGAAAAATAATAACCAGAAAGAAGACTGTCTCTTGTTAGTTTCAGCTGAATAAAAACTGGAGCAACATTCATGACTGGGAGCAAGTTTTCTGAGAACTGTTCTTCAGGAGATGGATCTATCAAATTCCAGCTGGACACGACGGGGCTGCCTTGGTCTTGTTACTGGTGATGATGCTAGAGATTACTTGCATGCTGTCTATATTCAAGCCAGAAGCTCCATTTTCACAAAGTACAGCACAGGTTTTATTAAAGCATGCATCAGAATATATTAAACATTTCTGCTGATCAGGAGAAATCTGAAGAAACTCCAAAACTTTGGAAGAGTTGTGATCTGGCTATGGATTTCAAGCCTGGTCCCCAGTGAAAGCACACCGTCCCAAAACGTCTCAGCTTAGAAAAGGCCTCAGTCCCTTTCCAGACTTCAAACAAATGGCTTTATTTGTAATTTTAACCATGACATTCACCAGCTGTCCGTTTGCACATAGAGACATAAGCAGGGTTTCAGCAACGCAGAGATCAGGTTTGAGCTGTAGACTGACAAGTAGAAGTGACGTGTTATAGCTAAACTGGCTTATTTGCACAGCACAGATCTGCATTTTCAACTTCTCTGAACTCCCCATGGGGATCATCTGATGGATTCTCTGCCAGATGTCTGGGCACTGTACGTGTGCTCTGGTGGCACGTGGCCATCTGGCATCCTCCAATTAAAAAAAACCAGCATGAGGCGTTTTAACTCTTTGGCCCTTCTTGAGTGCTTGCCTAGACTTGCACACTGAGTGAAGCAGAAAGGAAGTGGTCACCCAGAAGCGGCACAGGGACACGGGGCAGCCAGTTCTGGCATGGCAAAACTGGATGCTCTGCCCCGTTTTACAGAAGCGAGCAACCTTGGGAGACTGCTGTCAGATCCTTTTCCCAACTAGGGCACCAGTGGTTTCCCTGCACGTGCCAGGAGAAGATTTTTCTCTCGTGACACACTGTTTGGCAGCTGTGAACACTATTTTTGTTTTCCTCTGAGACACAAGAGGCTTGCTTACAGCTTTGGATGGGACATCACGCACTAGTTCCAGCAGCTTGGAATAGCCCGGTAGGTGCAAGTTCTTCATGCGTGGAGGATTAAACCAATTTGAAACCAAGGTGTCTTCCTTCCCTGGTCAGGATGGGCATAGTTACAAAAAGCCTTCCTGTAAATCATCTGGGCACTTCATCTAACACCCTCCTGCTCACACAGGGACTGGCAACACTGGTGACACCTTCAAATCCCACACTTGTAGCACAGTACTAAGTGTAACATTCAGCCTTTCTTACTAGGGACTTTTAAGGATGCCAGAGTACAGGGCAATAATTTGAGGGAGTCTGAGGAGAAGCATGGATGGAATAGCTGTTTTCTGCAACCTTTTGTACACGCAACCCCCGCGCATCTTTTCCCGTGCTCAGGAGTCACTAAGCTGAATGGCACAACAGAGCCCTTCCTCTCCCAGATTCAGCCCACGGTCGCAATGAAAACCACTACTGTCTCACTGCGATGCAATGACCCACACCACGGGGGTCTGAAGGACCTTGTTCCAGATCCTAACAGCCAAGCATCCCTAAATCACACATTTGCTGCCACAAGGGGCAATGACTGGCCTTCGCCTCATGAGTCTCAACAGACACTACAGCCTCCGGCCACACTGCTGGGTCCCTTTACTCCAGAAGAACACATGGTGGATCAGCATCGCTTAGCATGGACTACTGATGTAGTACCCCCACACCATGGGGAGAAGTTAATTTTCCAAGGCTGTTTATTTGGCATATAAACATTTTTTTTATTTATAAAGCCCATACTTGCACGAAACCTGTTATGTCCCTCGATTTTCGCTCTGCACAGAGCAGACTAGTTACAGCGATGTTCACTGCTGTATGTTACAGAGGAAGGAAATGCTGATGTTAGCAGGAAGTCTGTGTGTTTTAAAGATCTGACTTGAATGTCAATCCAGTCTCCTCCTCCTGATCTCAGCGTTGGCTCCCGTGCTTTTGACAGCGGGGGCGAGATCCAAATCCCTCTGGAGGCAGTGGGAAAGCTCCCACGTACTTCATTAAGTTTCAGACATTTTCAAATGTGTAGTTCAAAGCAAAGAAAGGAAAAAAAGCTCTTCCCTCAAACCTTTCTGCAAGAACTAGGCAAGCGAGCCCGGCCGTGCTAGCCCAGGTCCTTGGCTCTTCCTGCGTGCCACTAGGCAGCACGTCAGGTCACCCAGCACCAGGCACAGCTCCACATCTACCAAACCTGCAGCAGGGGAGCGCAGGCCAAACTCAGTCCTGTACCCACCGCTCTGGGCTGCAACTGAGCGCCGAAATAAACCCGTGTATCAGGATAAAAACGTTTTACACAAGATCAGTTGTGGCTCCAGGGTGACCAAACCCTTTCTGAGGGGGTGTGATGCCCATCCTGGGAAGGGACCAGGCGACGGTGGCTGCCCCGTCCCAACAGCAGCAATGCACATGGTGCAATCACGGTGGCCTGTCCCGCATCAGACCCAGCCGTCATCAGATCTGGTATCCCCATTTCAGCAGTGTGGCATTACCTTGACCAATGCCAAGAGCATCAGACAGGAGAACCCAGACACTGCTGTAATATGGATTTTGCAAAATCTGCAGAAGCGCACCCACTGCTGCTGTCATTGTTCCAGCTACGGGCTGACTTAAATCTTGAAGCACAGCATCTGGAAATAAGTCTTGACTTCCACTGCTGGAGCTTCCCCGAAACCTGTGCACACCCACACCACCACAACGCAAACCCTGCCACAGACCATGAGCACAAAGACTCCTATTTGGCCCTTCTAGGAAGTCACCATTCACATGGCACCTGGAGGTAAAACCAGTGGGTCCTTTGAAAACGATGCCATGTAACTCACCTTCTGATAAGCACAACATTTTGTTTCCCAGTGTAATCTTCAGGTAGCCTCCACTCGAATAATATTTGATTTTGGGAGAAAATCAAGTCTCAGGGAAAGAACAGCCTTGTCAATCATATTTTGGTGTATTTTTAAAGCAAGGGTGACAAAAACTGGTAGATTATCACAAACACAGAAAATAAAAATTTGGTTTGGTTTCCAGGTTAAAGGGTTGCTAAGCTTATACCACTCACTTTTGTTATAAACCAGGTAAGGAAGCTCAGTAACAATACTGGTCCCTGTAGAATAATATGCTGCCAAAAATGCTTTTTAGTTCGTATTGGAAACAGCTCTTTTTTCCCCTCATTTAAGTATCTGATTCCTATAAAAATGTCTTTCCCCAAACCTCTGAGATGGAACTCCAATTACTGAAAATTTTTTGCTCCCCAAAACAAGGCACGATGGTACATCAAAAAAAATCGCAGGCCAACCCACTGCACAAGGTATTTGTGCTACAGCTTTTCCAAGGCCCCACAGCATCACCTCCAAACCAAAATCTCTTCCCTTTGGTTCTTTGAAACCTACTCTAAAACTTTTAAATGCCCTGCATAAAACACAGCCCCGCTGCCTGAGCTGGTGTAGTTAACACACAAAACGAGCGCGTTACAAGTAAAACAAGGTGAGACTGTACCATTTGACTTTGGAGCCATTCGATCAGAGCCTCTGCTGTCGAGTCCGGGACCTGGCAGCGCAGCCCCTCTCTCTCGTCCGCTTCCATCATCTCCAGCAAGCCCCTCAAGTCCTCCACCAGGTGCAGCGCCCGCAGGCCCCCCATGAAGGGAGAGGTGGGGGACTGGCAGTCAAAGATGCCATTGGAGTACTCCAGCGCCTTCGAACCTGGAAGGAGCAAAATCGCACAGGGTCAAGCATGAGGCAAGCAGGTCAGACCTGCAGCAAGGCTGAGAAGTGCCAGGCAGCGTTTGCTCCCGGCGGGCATTTATCTGAACCAAATTCAGGGCTGGTGCTGGATTCTGACCACGCCACGTGGCAATTCGGAGAAGGCCACGCCCTTGCTGATATGCTACGTGGATGGAAGCTCCAGCAGGAAGCAGGTGGGCTGGTCCGACAGATGACATGTATGCCACCACCGTGGCCCATGTGCTGAAGGCGCGGGCTGGGCTCCTGCTCCCTGGGATGCATTGGAGGCGGAAAGTACTGCGGGGGGAACAGGCTCTGCTAACGCTTTGAGTCACCCTGTAAGGACTGCATGACCCAAGTCAGACACTGATGGTTTCCAGAGGAAACCATGCTCTGTGTTTTTCTTTCACACCGAAATATGTTATGCTGCCCCAAGGCACTGGAAATTTTTTTAAAAGAATAAAGAAAAATATGAAGATAAATAAAAAGAGTGAATCGCTTCTACATGAGAATAAATTTTAAACCCAACAATTTGACATGGTAGCACTGACATTTACATGCTAATAAAGAGAAATATCTCTTATTTGCATAAACTCACAGTACGTATATTTGACCTACATTAAAAGTTGCTATATATTAAGGAAGGAAACTATGAATTCGAGATGAAGGTTGATTTAAGTCAACCTAGCTAATTCCAACTATAATTTCAGCACACTGATTTGTGACCTTAATACTGTAATGCCTTGGCACAACGAGACATGTTCATGACAGAGCATCAGCTTTTATACCGTCAACTTTTGGAAACTACAGTGATATGCCATATATACAATTCCATGAACTTTCATTCACCTCATCTGGTAAGCCACAAAAATGCAAGTATTCTGCTAATACCCTTTGAAAAAAATGAAGAGGAAAAAAATCCCCACAACAGCATAGGAGTTGATATCCCTTTGTCATATTACTTTATAAGTCTGTTCAGACACATGGGTAAATTAAGTCTGTGGTGACTGAAACATCCCAACACCACATTTTATTTTTATATTAAACCTCATCCTGCCATAACCAACTTGGGCTCTTGGAAATGCAGATACACAGTTGGATCCAAATACCAGTATCTACTTATGGAAATTACTAAAGTCACAGCTTACATGTATTTTTAGAGATCATTTTGATCCAACTGAATCCACTTTACACGTGTTCCTGCTATGTGTCCTTAATATCTTTAGGAAAACTGCAGAGAAAAGTCATTGTTCAAACAAAGCACGCGCTGTATGATTATTTTTTTCCCTAAGGGAAATTATTTTAAGTGGAACTATTAAAGACTTTATAACCGTGTTGCTATCCTTGCAAAATATTTTTTCAGTTTGGGTTGCTGTTTGCATAGCTCTGCTGGAATAGGATTAAACTATTAATTTCTTGCTGTTTTGCTCCTCTGTGTTGTGCACTTGTATTATTTTCTAACTCACTAGACTCAACTTAAAAGCAGGGGTTGTATACTTTGTGATGCCTCTCTTTAGTCCACTTACAATTTACAGGTACTTATAAAAACTCAAATGTTTGGACCCAAACCATTCCAATTTTGAAAAAAGGAAAAATGAATTCATGTTTTAACTCTTCAGAGTAGCCAGTATTAGGCAAATTTAACTCTTCCTGCCTTGCAGCAGCTCCTTAAACACACTTATCTTGATTTGAAACATGCCTCGTCCTCGGCTTTCACGGTGCTGTGTGCACCAGCTGAACTGCATCACTCAGCCCCTTTGAGCAGGTTTTTGATAGAAGGTAGGAGAAAAACTACAGTCCATTTAGCTGCATCTATGTGTGAGAGCCTGTGCAATCCCTCCACTCCATTTATTTGTAATCGCTAAGCTATAATGGAAGACACCAAACAAAATTACCAGCACGTTCCCTTCTAAGCCTGGAAGCCTGCCCCCTGGGTGTGAAAAAGGAGGACCAAAACAACTAAAGGAACAAGCTGCCCCAAGCATTTACCTGCTATAATGCCATCCATCTGCTCCAGAGCCGCAGCGAGCATGTCACTTGCATCACTCATCATCTTCTCTCTTCTCAGGGACAATCAGCAGTTACACTATAAGGAGCAACAAAACACCGATAGTGTGAGTTGGATCCAGAGCCTCAAGTCTGCAATTCGACCTGCAAAAGAGAATTTCTTTTCACTGCATGTTCTCTGAATTCAGACACCAGTGTCGCCAGACCAGCAGGAAGACTGGGGCCGTTTGCTGACCACAACAAGACTTGGAGGTGTTCATCACCAGGCATGAACTGTCATCAAAGGATCAAAGCACCAACTTGATGATCCAGTTCCTAGAGTTGGTCAGCCCAAGGCCTGTTCTGCCTGCAGGCCCATGCCACGGAAGGGGCACCCCATACAGCACCTCTGAAATCCCACATGGCACTTCAGGGAAGCTTGCACAGAAGACACAGGCCTTCTATCGCTAAAAGGAAGCTGCAACTCAGCAATAAACAACTTGTCTGTCAGCTGTAATTTTTTCTCCCCAAGAATTTGCTGGTATAGAAAAAGAAGAGTCTGACCATTTGCCCAAGATTTCTGGATGCCTGACAATCCAGAAGTCCCTGGCATGCAACTATTTGCCTACAGGCAGGATATCTCAAATGACCATGACTCACTGGATGCAGTGTGCATGCACAGACTATCCCTCCGAAGACGCTACTCTGAGCTTAGCAGAGATTCAGGCCGTAACGATGCAATCTGATCTCGCCCTCAAACTTCTGAAAGCCAGAAGTGGTCCCCAGAGGAGTATTTCCAGCTGAGTCTGGAAAAGCGAACCTGCCCGACGTGCTGCCTGGGCAGCTGAGCTAGAAGACCTGAAACCCCGACGGGCTACAAGTTAAGCACATACTTAGGTACTTCGCTCAAGCAGAGCTGCAGAGGTCAGAGGCGCACCCGATCCCTCCACCCCAGTGCCATGGACACACAAGCCACCGAAATAGCCCAGACTGCCGTGGCTTTAATCTAGGACAGGCGAGACTACTTCTGCTATAAATACAGTTAGGGAACAAAGCTAAACAAACACCAGGAAGGAAAACTTGCTTTAACCTTTTGCATACCCTGCCATTTGGGTTTTGTATTAGGCCGCACTGCTGCTGACATTTGCCCCAATATAAGCAATTAAGAAAGTTGCACAGTGTCTCTGGCATAAATCCTAGAAAAGAGTCTACTAAAAAAACAAACCAAAAGAAAAATACATGTTATAAACTGAATTTTCCCTCCTACGAGTCACCTTATTGGTTTGACCCAGCTGGGAAGCAGCTCTCACTGGAGGCTGCCAGCTAGCTTTGCTGAAATGCTATCCTTAAAATGCCAACAAACATTTCACCTTCTGTATTAAAACTTTTATTACATGAAGTAGGTCCAAACCCTAAGGTAAATTTTGAATGACCGGCACAAAGACTACTGCGCTTTTGACAAATGCCTTGCTTTATTATTTAGTTGCCAGAGTCAGAAAAGCCAAGAGAACTTTAAAATGTTAAAATACCTTTAGTTAAGGTGTTGCAAATCTTAAAAAAATGCAGTAGCATCATAAGCCCCCAATTTTAAACACAATGTAAATACTAAACTTCAAGCAGTACAATACCTCCTGCAATATGCAGATCCTACAAGACATTTGGTCCGGTGCCTCTATGCCTGATAAAAGTGAGCAGAAAACGCAGCTTTTGCAAACACGTTCACTTGGACAATACTGAAAAAAGTCTTGTTTTTCTCCTTTAGGGTTTCCTGGCTCTGATAATCAGGTCCTGCTCAAACAGGGGTGCCTATGAACACAGAGTGTGAATGATCTGCAGTGGATTTCCCTCTGAAGGCAAAGAGTCCACAGAGAAAGCCCAGGGCTGCTGCTGCCCCAGGCAAAGCACCAATTCCTCACAGCTCTAAGTGGAAAAGGGCCAACAACGCAAAGCAACCACAAACCCGCAACAGCCAATTAATGTTTCGGAATCAAGAGCGCCCATGATCCCCCCGATGTGCATAAACACCTCATGAGGGGAATAAAGAAGATGGAGCCAGACTCTTCTCAGTGGCGCCCAGTGATGTAACAAGAGGCAATGGGCACACATTAAACCACAGGAAATTCTAAAGAAGAATTAAGAAAAAAAGAAAAAAAAAGAAAAAAAAAGCTTAAATTAAAAAAAAATTACAAGAAGCTTTTTTACAGCGCGGATGGCAAGCACTGGGAAGAGTTGTCCTTTTGGGGTCTCCATCCTTGGAGCCACTCAGCCCAACTGGACCCTGCATGGCGCACCCTGCCCTGGGCGTCCCCTTCTTTGGGCAGGGGGTGGGCTGGAAACCTCCAGTGGTGCCTTCCCACCTCAGCCATCAGTGAGCTCAGTGCAGCTCATGATCAAGCATTAAATACAGTACCGAGGAGGCTGCCTAGGGAAAGCCTACTGCTGGCTAAAAACGCTCTAAGGAACAGAGCACTCCCTGATCACGTTTGTTCACAGCACACCTCTTGTTTCTCACCTTCTGTCTAGGAAAGACATTAACTAGGAGCAAGGAACTGCAGATTTACACTTGTATAATAAAGCCAGGGCTCATAGGCACAGAAAAATCACCATCCTTGCGCTTAATCCAGGCACAACGACCCCTCATGTTTCCAAATACAGCCCTCCTTGCTTTTCCTAAACAAGGGTTTTGCCTGTGGTTGTCAAAAATCCCTAAGACAGCTCTACTGATGAGAGGAGCCACGGCAGATGGTGGTACCAACAGCATCTAAGAGACCTCCAGCACCTACCCCACTGTTACCCAGTCCTACCTCCAAGGAAAGGGACATGTCAGCCTGCACGGCGCTTCCTCCACTGCTAGTGCAAAAGGAGCCGTGCCACTGAGAGCAGCAGTGAGAAATTTAAAGATAAAATTTAGTGTAGCAAGATCGTGCAAACACACTGATCTCCAAAAACCCTTCCACCACCCACGGAGCATCTGTTAGCAGCCTGACCAAGCCTACAGCTGAGAAACTTGGGGAGGTGAAATAAGAAAAAAGAACAAAAAGCCCCTAAGCCGAACAGCTGGAGATGACGCAACAAAATCCCATTTCCCCATTATTTGGTCCTAAAAACGGTCACTGAAAACTAGGCTGGAACAGCGCATCCTGCTCTGGCCACGTTCCCAGCACAGTGCAGCACATCTAGCAGTCAGGAAGTAAAACCGCTGCGATAGAAAAATAATATCGGAGGCATCCTTCCCCGGTAAGGGCACAGACTCGCTTTTATTCTTTGCACACCATCACCGGCACACGGGGAACAGATGGGGTGGGGGGGGTGGGGGGGAATCAAAGACTTATACACCAGCGGACCAAATAACCAAACTGCATGAAACGAGAAAAGACAACAAACCGAGGGAGGAAGAGGGTGGAAAGGGGAGGTGCAGAGGGAGTCAAAGAAACACAATTATTAGACAGAAGTCATAAATCAGCAGCCCTTTGTGGATTATAGAAAAGAGGACAATACCGAAACACCAGCGGATTAATCCCCGTGCCTACTGAAAGTCACCGGGGCTGCCTCTGACTTCACAAACTTTGAGAGGAGCCTTGGCTGACCACTAACACAGCAGAGCTTTCCCCGATATGTATGTTCCTTTCTTTACTCTTTGCTTTTCATGGCTTTGGTCTAACAGAAGCGAAACCTGAGAGAAACTCAAGGCTTTGGGGTTTTTTTTTTTGGCAGTGACTAAGGAAAACCACGCAGTCAGGTAACACAAACAAAAATCCATCTTGGAGAAGCACAATGGAGATCCTTAGGAAAATAAGGAATAGCTAATACTTCAGATGATATCAAGCAGTTTGAATTCCTTTCATCCACAAAAGCAGAAAGAAAAAAAAAAAAGTAAAATAGTCATTTTAACATACATGGATCTATGACCCAGCAGGTGAATGAAAAACCAAGGTGCACACACGAGACAGAGAGGCAGATGCACAAAATCTACTCCTGGCCTAATGCCATCAGGAACACACCTGGGGGGAAAGCACTGACAGTGCCCTGCCTGAAGGACCATTTAGAATAAGTTTTCTCTTGCTTTCCAAGAAAACAATGACACTTACCTTCCTGAGTGCACAACCAGTGCAAGACGGGGCGGGGGGGTTGTTTTTACAGAGGCAGATCCCCGTTTTAGAGCTCCCAGCTGAGTACCTTGCTCATGCCGACAAGAACAAGCATCGCTTCGTTAAGGCTGTATTTAAAATCCACCATTAAAAAAAATTAAAATAAAATACAAATGCAGCTATCTCCACTATCAGTTACGATTAATCTTATCACTAACTGGCATTTCTACCGCATCCCTGGCCGTTACAGGGAAGACGTTATTTGGTCTTACTTGTTTTACGTCCCTTCCTCTGGTTCGAACACAACAGCCGGTTGCTAGGGCTATGCTGTTCACTTTTCAGTAGGTGGAGATTTTTTATTTTTATTTTTGAATGACATACAAACCCTCCGGGTACAGCGCTTGTGAAGATGTATTCCAAATGGCTTACAGAGAATACAAAACACTGCCCTGCAAATAAATCTAAAGAAAGCTAGAAAAAAACCAAGGGGCTTTGTGAATGGGAACTGCAGTCTGCTGGATGCAATCAGGAAAGCTGCCTGAATACGGATTTCAAAATCAGGTATTTAATTAAGATGGTAGACTTAAAAAAAAAGAAAAAAGTGCTTAAACACTTTACATATGTAGGAAATTATAGTTTCCCCACCCAGAGGCTGTCTCTTTCCTAGATCAAACAACACACAGAGAGGCATCTAGGGGCAACAACTTCAAGCCTTTTTTTTTTTTTTTTTTTTTTTTGTTTGAGGTGGTCTCATTCTGCATGTCCACGTGCAAAACACACCATTCTTTAAAACTCAGAGGTTCACAGGGCTGAGAATCAGCTGCCTGCTAGCAGGTCCAAAGGCCAAAAGGACACACCATGCCCCTCATGCAACCCCTCTGGGGAAGGGCAGGAGCTGGCCTTTTCGTCCCACTCACCTTCCTCTTTGTGCACATGGCTCTGCAAACACTCAGCGTTTGGAAAGAAAGCATCAGCTACAGATTATATTTATGATATGATGCAATAAGATGGATGACTTAAGTTTCCCAGCTCTCCCATTCCTATATAACACTCCTTAAATCAGGACATTTTGATACA